ATACTGTACTATCGTGATAACTACAATAAATTTCGCTATTTATCGTAATTATTAGAAATCAGTAGCATGATTATAATCGAATGTTATTAAATATCGCTATTAATCGAATCGAATATAAAGTGATATTTAGTATTACCGCTAGTAAACGAATTCACTATATATCGATTACTATCACGATCGTGTATAATCGGCAGGGGTGATTGGTATTGATATATAATTACCGGCTAGTAATCGATATATATCGGTCTATTTTTTTTGCTGATGATATCTTTTGAATTTTCAATAATACTCTGATGAGTAGAAAGAAGTTTAGCACAAGTAGAATTAGTCACTTCAGATAAATTATCTGAACCAACATTATCAAAAATATTTTGCTTAGAAGAAAAATAAGTACTAATATATGTAAAATCTTTAGCATAAATATAAAAATCACTATCAATATCCTCCAATTGACCAATCACAAAAATAAGTGAATTTTGTGGTCGAATTTTTAGATTAACAAACCGTGGATTAAAACGTTGAAAAACAACTTTAACAATAAAACTATGTTCCTGCCCAATATAATCACTTATCAACAACTTAAAAATTGAAGTATCGTCATTTTCTACAACTTGCGGCAACTCTTGAGAAACTCCTACTAAAGAAGTCTTCAATGGACATTTATTCGAATTATCAACTTTATTAAGAATAGATAAACGAGTTGAAATAGAAACAATCATCTAAAATAACCAAAAAAGATAAGTAACAAAATAAACTTTAAACTAACAAAAACTTAATATCTTTGCTCTTTTTTTGCTTTTATAGAATCCAGACACGATCTTACTGCCTACTGAATAAAAATAATCCTTTTCAAAAATAGCCTGTGTTTCTGGATTGCATTCATCAAGATTTATAGGTACAAATAATACCAACTTAACTTCACTACTCTCACATTCAATCGGATAACCACCAATAGCCCATACAGCTCTTAGATTATTATCTTTTTCACTCAAATTAACATATTTAATCCTCACAATCATATCTGTGTAACACAGCATGATATAAAATTGCAACCCACTTTTTTATATATATATACTTTTCTTTTTGTTAAAAAAATAAAAATTATAAAACTACGAATGAATAAATCTAAAAAAAAATACAATACAGACAGACAACAATGCTTATAAGAAAATATCCACATAAAAATGACGTAAAATAAATAAAATCTTGTATAAAACAGTTATATAAATCTGATATAAAAATATCATATTGCAAATTAATACTAAAATAACACTAAACCAAAAATAAATAAATAATTTACCGCTAAATAATATCCTTTTCTAATCCATATTACAAATAAAATAAATAATACATATATATATAATATAATATATTATATATATTAAATATTAATAAATAATTATAATTATAAATATTAAAAAAACATAGCATATATCACCAACATACAATAATAACATACCGTAAAATTCTCACAAACAGGTATTCATATAATTTGATATTAAAATCAATTTAATTTTACTTTATTTATACGGTTTAAATATTTTTTTTTAAAAAAAAAAACTGCTACGAATAAACAAAGAAAAATTATATAGAAATTTTTATTAAAGTTATAAAACTACACTATTAAAATAATCAAAACTCTTTTTATTTTAGAAATTATTAACATAGCAATAATCTAATTTTAATAAGCCGATAATATATTAACTTCTCTAAAACAAAAAAGAATTTTGACTACTTTTAATAATATAATCTTACAACTCTAATAAAACTTTCCCTATACTATTTGTTTATTTATTCTTTGTAAATTCTTTATTAAAAAATATTTCAAACTATATAAATAACATAAAATTTAATCAATTTAAACACTATAAATAAATATAAATTTTACATAATAAATTACTATAATAATTATTTAATTACATTAATACTAACTATAAATATCCAATATAAAAAAAAATAAAAATAACCTACTAAAATATACAATGCCATTATCTTAAATTAACTAAATATAAGATAGGTGGCGCAAATGCGCCACCATCGCACTAGTTTAAAATATAATACAACTTAGTTTATATATTTTAAATTATTTGAAACAAATTATTATTATTGTTTATTTAACAATAAATCTTAGTTGTATATAGAATGTTCTCAAGCTCCTTTCTGAATGTGATTTGCTAGTGAGAGAAAATAGTAAGAAAAAATAGTATAACAAATAATTTTTAGCTATTTTGAATAGCAATGAATATTTGGGTTATATGATAATCAAAAAATTCTTTAAAGTTTATTTATAATTAGATTAATATTTATATTAGAGTTAAAATTTAAAATATATATATAAAATCTCTTGAGAAAATTTTTTAGTTAGAATGAAAATTATTAAGAAATATGCAATTTTTTTTAAAAAAAACATGGATTTGAATTTTTCTAATTGTGTTATATTATATCAAATTGCAGTTTATTATTAAATAATTTCCCATTGTATAACCCAAACATTTTTTGCTATAACTAGAGTGCTTAGCCAATTTCGTGTTGAAAAAACAAGATTATAGACTATAAGTTTTTTAAAAAAATATGATTAGCCTGGCTAATTGGGCTAAATAATTTTAGTGGCCAGGTCAGTCTGAGAGTTTGTCATTAGCTCGTATCACTACAATAACCTGCTATTTTAGAATAAGATTATAAATAGATATTGAAATTACACAGAGTATAGAAATTATTTAATTTGGTATGCAAACTATTAAATAAATTATGCCAGAACATAGTTTTACTTCAAAAATAATAAATAAATATAAAGTTGATGAGATGAGGTTTACAAATTAGAAAAGAAAATCAAGAATCTCATTTGCTGGGCATTTATTTAATAGTCTCTTTAGAAAGAGATAAGGAAGAAACCAAGATTATTATTAATTAAAAAAAGTAAATAAACTAGTAGAAGACTTGAAATAGCCAGATCAAAAAAATTATTTGTGTTTATTTATATTCTTTGCAGTTTGTTAATTTGTTAAAGATTCTTTATTTAAAGATAAAATAAAAAAGATAAAAATATACAAATAAAAAGATAAGAAATAAAAAAAAAACCCCCCAAATAATTTATTATTTTTTTTGATTTAATTTGTATTTGATAAAAATTGCTTTGAATAGTAAATAAAGTAAATAGTAAATTTTTATCAAAAATTTTTAAAAAGTGTGTACTCTGATAATAATAGATGATAATCAGAAACAGGTTGAATTTTCTTAATTTAACAAACTTATATAAAAAATTTATCTTTTTATTGGATAAAATTGCACGTTTTTTATTTGTCTTAATAAATGGCTTCAAATCTGTTTGACAAGATAAAATCCTGACTTTGGATAAATTTTCTGTAAGTGATAGATGAATGTGTTACATTTATTTGATACAAATTCATAAATTCATACCCAACTAATCTTGTTCAAATTTGTACTATTTGTCTAAGCAAGTACAAATTCGTACTATGTTAATTATCTTCTTTCAAATTCATATAGTTAGTATATTTTATACATAGCAAAAGTAGTTTAAATAGCGAACACAGCTTTATGTACGCAGTAAAGTTCAAAGTTATTTAAGACCTATCTTTTTGCTTAAGGGTAGGGTATCTCATAGTTTTTATAGTTTTCGAAAACATGTAATTAACCAATAAAAATGCACGATTTTGCCCATCTATGGGCAACTTTGCCCATCGATGGGCAAAATCGTGCATTCTTATTGGCTAATTACGCGTTTTCGAAAACTATAAAAACTATGAGATACCTTACCCTTAAAATAAAGAATAACTCATTAGAGTTCTTAACTTCGAAATCTTTTGAGTAGAAGTTGGTTCTCTTATAAAGTTTTCCCCTTGTCTCGTAATAAAAGAAAAATTATTTGTTGTATTTACTTGTTTTTATGATATCATTGTATTTGAATTTTCGATTTGAATAAGAGTAAAAGAAATAGAAACATCGATTAATAATCAGGAATCCTTTTTATAATAAAAATTAAACTCTGATCTAATTTCGTTATTATTATGTATTATCATTGTTTGACTCTAATTGAAAATTAGCAAAATTTCATGATATGTGACCCAATTAGTGATGCCTGACGAAACCATGTGATGCTAATTATCACATGCTGTTACTTATAAAAACCAAAATATGTATAAATTTAAGGAAATTACTTTATGAGCTTTTGGCACAAATATTAATATATCCACAATAACATACAGATATAAAACGTGCCCCTTCAAGAGGCAAATCAACATAGATTGTTGATTTTATATATTGTACCATGTGACAATTAGCATCACATGGTTTCGTCAAGCCGATACGAAGAACATATTGTTACTATTAGTTGGGAGAGCGATGATAAATTATTGAGCAATTTAGCTCCAATAGTAAACTTAAAAGGTTAATTTGGGCCTCGATTTACGTAGATCAAGATCGGGCTCTTACTAAATTGATCCAAGTTTGGGTTATGCACGTAATTTAAGGATAGACTAATAGGGTAAACTAAGGCTGACGCGATGATTATGTAACAATAAGACGGTTCTATACTGAGAAATTGGGCGGATAACCTTATGATAATAGTGTCATTTGGGTTTTAACAATGGTAATTGTTTAAGATTTATAGCGGTTAGGGGTTGGATAGTATTTAGGGATAATTCTAAGGTAGTTAACAATACGGAAAAGAAAATAAAAATAAAAATAAAAATAAAGATAAATTCGTTCAATACACAGTTTTTCCAATAAATATGAGAAGTCGATTCTTATTTTACTTCATTAAAGACATCGAAGTCTGAGAGAAATTTTATTAAGGATAAAATTTGGGCTTTAAATACATTTCAACTTCCTATTATTACAACATTTTTTCTAATGGTCCTTTTCTTCTTCTATGATTCTTTCTTACTCCCGCGGCTATGGCTTAAATTTGCTACTAAGAGCTTTGCTTACAATTGTATCCACTTGGCCACATTTACTCACAATTGCTAACTATCGCTTACAATTGTTTGTGTCCGATTCACCATTACTCACAATTGTTGATAACCGTCCACAATTGTTACCCGCCATTTTTCTCTCATCATTTGATAAATAATAATAAAAAAAATAAAATATATACAAAATAATAAATAAATAAAAATAAAAATAAAAGAAAAAAATCTAAGCCCTAATTCTGATGTCACGAAACCCGTGACAATATCGAAAAATAAGCGAAAGATCGAACGATTAGTACTAGAATAACACAACAGAACTCAAGTAACGCCTGAATAGAAATAAAGAAGACCCATTTGTCCTGGGTATTGTCTCAGCTCTAGAAATCTCGGACCAAGTCTCACCACACCTCGATCGTCACCTTCCAATTTTAGAGTTTAGGTCTTGTCATATACGATAGATTAGTGTGTTAGATTAGATTATTCAATAATCCATATATTAGTCCAACGCTCACAGCGTCATTTTCAATAAATATTATTTATATTCGTACGAATAATTTAAAATTCAAGCTACCAGCTTATAAACAATTAACTGGGTAACAAGTAGGTCTACTTCAAATTAGCGCTGTAATGAATGTAAATGGCTCCGCAGAGTCGTAAGCCAATCATAGTCAATTATGTATCAGCTACCGTTTTGGCTTGCTTTTATTATGAAGATCCGGTTTAGATTCGTAGGCCAGTATGTCATTAGCTATTATAGCAAACTATATACGTACTAGTGGCCAATGTCCTCGCTTAATATAAACAAAGAGGTAAGAGAATCTAAAGGGTAATATCTTTTCTGCGCATGTACGGTACGATTTTCTCGTAATCAATTATGACATTATTCATACATCAATTGATATTACATTCAATATAGGCTTACCGGGTTTGTCTTTCTTGAATTTGAATATCATTCAGGTATCTTTGTCTTGTCGAAATATTTTAACTAGTAAGAAGCATCAATTTTCTGAATTACTTAAAAGAATTTTTATAACGCAAAATTTGATAAATTTAGTTTAACTGAATTTGATAAAAAAGTTTGTAAGAATAAATACGAAATTCTCTACAAATGCTAAACATTTTATTTAGATATTTATTACTTTCAATAGCCTTTTGTATATAAAATACAATACATTATTGATGACTATATTTACGTTACACCATCTTGCAACTACTATCCGCTACTTGTAGCAAATTTTGTACTGCCATATTGGCGTAATTTATATTAACCCTCCCTTCTGTTTAATTAGCTTTAGTTTAATCAATAAATTCAGTAAATATATTATCCTATGATATAGTTTTTTTACAGGGCAATTCCCGAAATTCGAGAAAGTCCATTGAAGCTTGCAGGTATTAAACAATGTTAGCCAATCAAGTCTATAGAAAATTGTTAACTTTTCTTAATAAATGGACTGTGACTTCATCGGTATAAATTTGGCTTTTTGTACTAAAATACAAATATGCATGCAAATAGGAGTAAAATTTCTCAAACTTGCGTTTTTGATAAACGTTGTTAATCACCTAATTAACTAATCAAAAACGCATCTATTGATTTTACATTTGTATCACATTGCTTAAATATTAATTGTCCTCCGCTAAGCTTTGAGCAAGTATCTATTTTATTTTGGGTTTATTTTCTTTTATTTTAAAAAAATGAACTCTAAACAATTTATTGAACTTGGTTACAATTATCAACATGGTATTGGTGTTAAAAAAGACGAAAAGAAGGCTTTTGGATATTATTTGAAAGCAGCTGAGTTAGGAAATCCGAATGCAATGGCTGCTGTTGGTAATTTTTATAATTTTGGAGTTGGTGTAGAAATAAATTACCTGAAAGCATTCGAATATTGGAAGAGGTCAGCTGATTTGGATAATGCTTCTGCAATGTGTAATATTGGTTATTGTTATGGAAATAAAAGAGGGGTTGAACAAGATTATAATAAAGCATTTGAATACTATGAAAAATCTGCTAATATGGGTTCTAAATCAGCAATGATTAATGTTGCTCTATGTTATCGAAACGGTAATGGTACAAAGAGAGATATTCAAAAGGCAAATTATTGGTCCGGAAAGTATAGAAGCCTTTTGAGAACTAGTAAATCGCCAGATCATATCAATCCTGAACTTAAGAGAATATTAGACGATGAGAGATTTAAATTATCTTGGATTGATTATGATGAGTTCACAATTATCAAAGAATGTGGAAAGGGAGGATTTGCAACAGTATATTGGGCAAATTGGTTTGATAGAATCAATGGTAGATGGAGAGATGTTGCACTTAAAGTGATTCGTAATTCAAACGAAAATTTGCAAGAATTTATCCAAGAAATGAAGAATTACTGTGAAATTGGTTACGAAAATCCTTCGTTCTTAAATTGTTTTGGGTGTCAAGGAATAACTATGGTGATTATATAATTGTTATGGAGATCTTTCCAAAAGGTTCATTACGGCAAAACCTTATAGAAGTATCACAATTAGAATGGAAAGATAAATTAAATATTCTGTACTATATAGCCTTGGATCTTGAGTCGATTCATTCTCAGAAACTTGTTCACAGAGATTTACATAGCGGAAACATTTTGCAAGAAACTTTGAATAATGCAAATATCACAGATCTTGGACTTTCTAAAAAAGTGGCGGAAGGAAAAATTTGTGGGGTTCTGCCATATATAGCACCCGAGATTTTGATGGGTCAACAGTATATTCAAGCATCAGATATTTACAGTTTTGGAGTTATCGCGACAGAGATTTCGACCGGACAAAGAGCATTTGATGGAATGCCGTTTAATGGCGATCTAATATCAAAAATTATCAATGAATCAAGACCTAAATGTTTAGGACCCGATTGTTATATTAAATTGGCCATGAAATGCATGGATAAAGATATTGATGAACGACCTACTGCAGCAGAGATTATTGAAATAATCACTCGTTGAATAGATCAGAAAGATGATAATGAAATCAAAAAACAGTTTCTAGATGCTAACAATATTAAAGTAGAACCTATTGAACAAATACATTCACAAGAGATGTATACTAGCAAGCTATACAATACGGATAAATTTTCAGAATATATTAGTAACCCGTGGAAATAGTGTGCAAATTCTCAATTTATATCTAAATTAAATATAAAATGTGATTTATACTTAAAAGGTACAACTATAGTAATTTGTTCTTTGTTATAAAAAATTTTTACAATATTTATTCCATTTTATTATTTCTTCTCATTTAATCTAAAATTTTAATTTATTATCTTTATTATTTGTGATATTACGATTTTCTTGGAAATAATCTTTAAAATCAATTTTATCTTTTTTTTTTTTTTTTTTTTTGAATCTCTGTTTCAAATATTCTTTGAAACTTAAAATGGTTGAAGATTACTAATATACTAAACAATTTAATAAAGTATGAACGTCGTTTTAACTTTGTATCTAGATTAAATATTGGAAAGATTATAATGTTTATGTATTATTAATTATAAATCAAACAGTAACATATACTTTTTTTTAAAAAATAAAAATTGACATCTAGATCTGTCATTAACAGTTACCAACCATCCATACCTACTAAATCTAAAACACTATATTATCTAAAGAAACGGCGAAAGTGCCCTATTTGTAGTTGTTAGGTGAAACGTAGAAGCTTGCTTTGGGAAAGCTGAAACCTAGTTTTGATTTTTTCAGAGAAATTTTTGTAAAGGCATAATTGAAAAAAGGTGGTAAAAATTGTAAATGAATACGGAGGCCACCTTGATCACTTATGTAGATGGATTAGACCTAAATGATACATTGATAAAGAATCAAAGCAAATTCAAAGGACTCGTTTTTTTAGGACATGGAAATTTTTTGTTTTGGTGTATTGCATATATTTCTTTTTTAATTTGTATTTTTAAATAAAAATTACTCAGACATACTTTTAATAGTAATTTGAATAATAACAAAACCTTTATTGAAAATTTTTTAAAAAAGTGCACTCTGATAACAAATTAATTCTAAACGGTTTAACTTCTTTTGTTGACCGAATTTTTTCAAGAAATTTTTATTATTATAAATGGATAAAAGTTACATCTTTTTATTTGGTTTTAATAAACGGCATCAAATTCGTACGAACGTACTTTTTTTTTTTAATTAGCAAAAAACAAACCAATGTATATAAATTATATCGTACCTATAACTAAAAGTCTAACTACATGTTACCCACCAGTTTATAAAACAATTATCTGAGTCTATTTCAAAATTAGTGAATGTAAAACGTCTTTGCAAACTCTCCTTAGTTGTCAATTAAATTGTTCGATTTACTAACGGCTCGGCTAAATGATTGCTTGCCCTGTGTTCTGAAGAGCCGTCTTAGATTTGTATGCTAATTATTACATGAACTATAATAATATACCATTAGCTATTATAGTAAACTGTAATTTCATCGCTTTAATCAATAATAGTAGTTAGACACGTTCAAATATCCGCGCTTAACTGTTAAAATAATTTCTATATAAGTTACCTGCATTACTGATAAAGAAATAGGGAATCAAACCTTAATTATGACATTTATTCATCTATTACTTAAATATTACTTTTTATGCAGGCTTATGTAATTGTCTTTCTTGAATTTGGATTCCATTCAAATAGTCGTTTCTTGAACAAGCCTCTGAATAAAAATTTTTATAATACAAAAATTTTAAATAATATATGTAGATCTACCAAATTACACTAGAACGCTAAAACACTAAAACACTAGAACACTAAAACACTAAAACACAAAACATGTCACTTTGTGTATCTATGGTACACCGTATTTTTGATCGGCAAATTTCGCATAAATTTACAAATCGAAATAATTACAAGCGCATGTATGACTCGCTATGTATTATACATTGCTGAATGGATTTTTCAAATGCTATATCTAGTAAAGCAATGATTCAAAATCGGAGGCTTTGATAAAATTAATGCTGTAAAATTCCTGAGATATTAATTTTTACACTCGATAGTCGTTAATATTCATCTCTAAGCACTTTATAAGTGTTATAATTTTCTAAAATGTATATAAGACCTTCAGTTTTAATAATTTTATGTCCTTCATAAGTGAAAAAAGAAGTAATGTAAAATACTTATCTTATAAAATCTTTATAGATTACTTCCATGAAGTCATTCATTCAAGATAAAGCACATTTCATTTCACGTATTTATTTGCTTCTCAAAAATGCATGAAAGCATAGAAAGAAAAGACGAGGCAAAATTTTCGGTTGGAGGATCGGAGATAGAGAGCCACGGCCATAGTTGTGCAAATAAAAGCACCAGACATTCTATGCATATAATTACCTAATGATTAAAGATATTATTTAATGATTTTACAGTTTGTTTTTTAAAAATTATTGTTATCATATCATGGGGGATACTTATCTTGTAACTGAATTTCACGCGAATATTAATCTTGCAATTAAGTGTACAATGTAATCCTGATAGCTTCTAAGGAATATGCATAACTGATTCCTCTTGTAGAACCGGTAGACCTTAGAACAGGTGTTTTTGGAATGTCCATAACCAAGTCGGGATTGGTTACCCTGCAACTAAAACATTCCACGTCAAATACAACCTTGCAATTAAATACTCTAATGAAAGTCGTATTTTTTTAATTGTTGATAAAAACTAGAATAATTATCCTGCGACTGCACTTCACGGTAAATATCAAACTTGCAATTAAGTATTACAACGTAATCCTGATAGCTTCTAAGGAATATGCATAACCGATTCCACTTATAGAACCGGTAGACCTTAGAACAGGTGTTCTTGGAATGTCCGTCACCATGTGGGAATTGGTTACCCTGCAACTAAAACACTCCACGTCAAATACAATCTTGCAATTAAATACTCCAATGTAATTTACAGTCGTATTTTTTTTAATTGCTGCTACCAAAACAGAATAGCTATCCTGCAACTGCATTTCACGGCGAATATCAATCTTATAATTAAGTATTACAACGTAATCCTGATAGCTTCTAAGGAATATGCATAACCGATTCCTCTTATAGAACCGGTAGACCTTAGAACAGGTGTTCTTGGAATGTCCGTCATCGTGTGGGGATTGGTTACCCTGCAACTAAAACACTCCACATCAAATACAATTATGCAATTAAATATTCTAATGTGATTTACAGTCGTATTTTTTTTTAATTGCTGTTATCAAACCGGAGTAGTGGGATGCGTTAATCCGATTCCTGGGAATATGTAACGCCGGGTAATTAAGATTAGAATCGTGAACGCGACTGCGTTGCATGAATGACGTGATTAGGATTTGCAAAATTAAAAGTCTAATGGTGTAACATAATGAAAGTAATTTAATATATAAGGCAAGTCTTTTTGAGATCTTGAACAGAGACAATTGAAAATAAAGAATCATTCTATTAAATACACCATGCGGTCTTCATACAATGTAGTACCTGAATGATTGTGATACTCCAGTCTAGAAATATAGCCATGCGAGTGATTCAAGTAGAGATGCCAAGAAAATCATGTGATGCTAAATCATCACACACTATAGCTTATACTTATTGCATATAACTTAAAAAATTACTAGTTATTTCCTTGTGATTATTTAGCGTCACATGGTTTTCTCGGAATCTCTAATTAGAAGTATACAAACCTGAAGTTAACTCCTAAAGTCTATATAAACCTTGTCAGAAGGGCCTGAGTAGACAAAAGCCTTCTTTGCCAAATAACTCGTTGAGATTCATTGAGAATAACATAGATTAAACGTTGCGTAAAAAAAATTTCATCAACGTTAAATAAATAACAATAAATAACAAGGACATTGAGAGAATAAAGAGATATTTTACATACATGAAAAGACTATGAAAGCCACTGATCGCTAAGTGCGTTATTACCAAGCCAACTGTGAAGAAAGGATCGATGATTTTTTATTTGATTTCGAAGTTTACAAAGCATCCAAAGTTTGCATGAGGATGATAGTAAGCTGCCATGTCTCTGAACACTTAAGGCCGTGGATGAGGGAGTTGATATGGTCAACTAAAAGTTGGACCGAATTAAAGTAAAATATAAAAAGATGAATGAAAACATCGTTTGAAGAGGATATAAAATTAAATAAGTTGATGGACGTGAAGCAATTTGAAAATGAAAGGTATCATGAGGAAATCCATTGTGTCTGGCCTGATCATACGAGGATACAAAGAATTACGCTTTGAAGGTTGAAGCCTATATATCAAGGAGAATGAGTATGATAAGAAAAGGGCCAAACTGCTGAATAACTATTATGAACTTGTTATAGGTAAAAGTGAAGGCTTTTGGATGATAAATTGTGTGGAATCAAACACAAATTGTTGGCGGAGACAATGAATCCTGTAAAGGAAGTCATTGAAAACATTAATTCTTTAGCAAATAAAGCTGTTAAAATCCAGTGCAATGACCAGAAATGTAATACTTATGATGTAAACATAAATGTCCACGATTATGTTATGAATGACGTCATATAAGACATAATGCGCGTAATTGACCAAATCAAATCGTTAATGCCCAAATGAAATGTTTGGTTGTGCCAATTCGATTTCAAATAGTTTGTGAATGCAGCTATTCATTTAATTAATACCCACCACCACCAATAAAGCAAATCATCGTGGTTAAACTAGTATTTAAGGAGGCAAATAGTCCAACGTCTACAATATTTTACGTCTATGTTCTATTGGAAGTGATAAATAATACAGTAGTATGATATAAATATTTATTTATGTAAAAAATAAATTTATTTGTTTATTTTTTTTAATAAGTTGAGAACATAATGCGCACCGTACCTCGACATGTCATGAGAACATGCTTTTCACATTAGAGGTTGGAACCGGTTTTAAATATTCGAGTTTATTACTCCAAAATTCGAGTTTATCGAATTTTGATGTGATAACTCGAATATTTAAAACCGGTTCTAACCTCTATTTCACATTCCAAAATTAAGGTTTGCATTATGCAACATGATTGTATTAGTGAATAAAACACCAGACAAAAAAAAATGCCAACTCTCACGTTATGATAATATCTGCATCATATGATTGATTTGCTATGTTCCATAGGTGAATGATTTGTAGGCACAGTACATATCTTACCGCAATAGCCACTTATCCTATATGAAGTAGAGTATTTGATTCTTTGGCTTTTAAGCTTTGTCTCTTTAGTAGTATCCAATACCATCAATTTTTAATTAAATCTTACTTAATCGCTGAGAATAGTCTTTTGCGTGTGGTTTTTTTTTATTTCCTATATTAATTTAATATAAGAAGAAAACAAGTTTTTTTTTGGATTAAAGCATGAGCATAATCTTGAAGTATTCAAGTAATCCCATAGTCATGTTTTTTTTGAATCACATCATTATATCGAGGTTGTTCACTCTGTAAGTAACATAACAAAAGAACTTATTACATCTAAAATAGATTTTAATGTATATTTGAAAAGAACTCGTTACCTTGCAGTCATTGGTTATTCACATAAACGCTTCGAACAATTTGTGTTTCTTTCGATGTTTCTATAGATGATTTTTCAAACAAAGCCTTAATCATTTTTTAGAAATGTCCACTGTTCTTGGGTTTACTTGTATCGATAATAAAATAGTTCCAAATATATTTACGTGTCTTTAGATTTCTTGGAAGTAAAATATCGATAATAAAATAGTTCCAAGTATATTTACGTGTCTTTAGATTTCTGGGTGCATTTATATCATAAGCACTTTGCTAAAAAAAAAAAAAAAGGTTACTTGTATCGATAATGAATATATTTACGCATCTTTGGATTTTTCGAGAGTATTTTATATCATACAGTCATAAGCACTTTGCTAAAAAAAAAAAGAATTAGAAACAAATGAATTTTATAAAGGGTATAGAGGGGCTATGTTACACTGGTCATTACTTTTATTATTTATATAACGATAATACAAATATGGTAAACCGAAAATGTGTACAACGGATCGATGACCACTTATTTATATCTTTATTTGCTCATAACATTAAAGAAAGAAAATAAAAAAGTAACATTAAATCAATAATTACGCAACAAAACATGGTTATATGATAAAAAACAAGCTATATTCTAGGATATTTATTTATTCATTAAAAGTTCTTTAAATCATCTTTAACGTTATATTTATTATTACAAATACATTATAGCCAACTCTTTCTATAACGAACTAACATACTGAAAAAAACATGCTCATTATAGAGAAGTTCACCATACTGTATAGAGCCTGCAATATATAAAAAAATTTATTGAATAAAATTATTAAATTTAGTTTTTTAAAGCTTTCTTTTAATTAAATAAAATACACAAATCTATATTAACATATTCGGCAAAAGAATTTATGGTATTTTCAAATTACAAACAACATACGTACGTAAGTCTAGAAATTTTGAATTCCGGAGTAGACATCCGAACTGACGTCCGGAGCGCAACCTTTTCGGTATGCAGTATGAAAATATATTCTACTTTTCATATAATGTAATATTATACAATCCTTTATATTGATAAATTTTAGTTTGGTATAAAATATATCATGATTGACTTGAGTTACTTTTCAATCGGTGGAGATTAAAAAATAACAGCTGCTGATTTATAATCAACAAATTCCGAAAATGATGCGTAATATATATACGTGATACCCAAATCACGTTCCTAATCTAAAAGCAAAAAAAATTTAAGAACATATGATAGCTATAATTCAAATTTGAAGTATTCGTAAAGTGAGGTTTTATTATAAGATTAGATAGTCTTCGCTCAAATTTTTTATTTATAATAAGTGTAGCAATATGAACAAATTTACAGAAAAATTTTTTACATTAATGTGCGAGCAAAAAATTATTAAATTATTTTATGTAAAATTTTTTTAATTTATATATAAATTTGTTCTTTGATACTAGAAAATTTATTATTATATATTTATCGATTGACCTTACATAGTTTTGATTAAATGTTGAATAATTATGCATACGCATACGATGTGATACTTGTCTAAAAATAGCAATTGTAACATGTTATTGCCTAAATTGTTGGCACATGATATAATTTGTCCAATGAAATCACGTTAATCATTGCACAAGGTTATGTCGATCAAATCATGTCGTGTATTATTTAAGCACCCAATTATTCTGTTAATAGATAATAATAGTATCTCTGTAGTATTGTACACGCTTCGAATACATATAATACCCGAGTAAAATTAACCCCTACTCCACAAAATATGGTACGTACGTACGTAGAATACTTTTTAGAATGGGATCTGCATGCATATTTAAAAAATTTATAAGTTCATTTGTTTCTAATAGCATAGTGGAAGTTCGTTTTGATTGGTTATTAATATACCCCGGATAAAGCGTCGATCATACCTCGGATAAAATGTCCGTAACACATCTCTGATTGGCTAATTATAGCCGATAAATTTAAACGTTAATACGTTATTAAATATATAAATTAATTTTATACCTTAAAAAAATTGGAATGTTCTGAAGTATTGTGTTTGCTGTTAATAGTAAGGGTAAGTCTAAGTCTGTGAACAAAATATGAGTGCATATGGGTGTGAATGCATGAACGAATGTGAATGAAAATGAGTTTATGAAATAAACGTTGTCTGGTTCAAAAGTAAGTTAAATTCTTATTTATTGCATAATTTCTTAAGGCATATTAATTTGATTTATTCGTACAATATGGTGTAATAATTTTAAAATGTATAGATTAACATGTGAATAACAAGTAGATGCGTGAACAAAAGGGTGTGCGAATGAAAAGTGTGGACAAAGACTAGATGTCTTTGTATGTTAAAATCATACTTGTGGACTCCAAATAAACTTGTTCTGCAACGAAATTTAAACTGGCTCAGTTGGATAATTTCAGAACTGAGATTCGGTATGTAATTTAAATTGAAGTTTGAATTAATTTAATACTGTACATTTTTTAATTTATTTGTAAATTTCCGAGAAATACTGGGCAGTTACGTTCACAACTTCGAAATTTTTTTCAATCCGATTGTAGCAAAGCTATTTATCACCAATAAATTTCTTAATTGCGTTCAAGTTGATTTAATTTCA